GTGTGTGTGTGTGTGTGTGTGTGTGTGTGTGTGTGTGTGTGTGTGTGTGTGTGTGTGTGTGTGTGTGTGAGACTTACAGTAAAAGTCTTGACATATTTGCTGAGCAGTTCGTTCACCACCTCCTGAGGCAGCAGAGGCTCCAGCTGATTTATGTCACACTCTGAGGACAGATCTGGATGGCCCATCATCTCAACACTGTAACGGATTTAACAAGAACATGTGAGTACAAGCTCAGAGCTAGCAGAAAACATCAGACTCACATCAGCATCTCAGAAAGTAATAATTAGACATGGGCAAATATCTTCTGTCAGTGATAACTTTTTTTGTGGTATTTCAGTATTAAAATATTTTCAATATTTGTTGTGATGTAAAAATTAAAAGGCAATTACTTTTACTGTTAATGCCTAAAATATATTCCATTACGCCTAATAAAAATTATTTTATAGGTATAATAGTATAAACTAAACTAAACAGATTTATTTATAGTCGTTTTAATTTGAATTTATTTTTAGCATTTTTATTTCTTTTAAGAAAACGAGACTGATGTTGTGTCTTTGGCCGACAACAAGTCAAGACTGAATGTTTGATCCACTACAAAATAAAATATTCAATAAAATTAATTGTCATTTTTATTTTACTTTTTGAAGAAAGCATAAAAGTTTGGGGAATTCCTCCCTCAGTCATACACACCTGACTGACTGCTCAGAGATGGTAGGACCAGGGGGATGACCAGAGAGTGAGGGGAGGACGCTTTGTCTCTGGTATTTTATTAAGTCATTTGAGTTGTACAGATTGTATATTCCTGACTCTACTCTTACTTTACTTTACGATACGTTATTGATCCCATGAAGGGAAATTACAGACTTAATCAGGCAATGGGCCCATTCTTACCATCCACAACGAGCAGAACTAATGTGGATAGGTACTGATGAACAAAATGTAGGGTTAGGAGGTTTTATCAGAAAGGATAAATAAACTGACCTTTTGTATGTATTGAGAACCCAGGTTAGAAGAGATACAATTTCATTTGCCTCCAAGTCATCTAAAGCCAGTTCCTTAACACGAGACGACGCCGCGTTGTGATAGAGGCCGAAAAACCTGTAACACATTTAGTAAGGGAAATGATACTTTCAATTCAACATCTGGTTTTAGAAATAAAGATGCTGCATCTCACAAGAAAACACATTTAAGTGTCCAAATGCCACTCAGAAAACCTTGTTTTGATCATACATGTATAAAAACAGACTGATATACTTCAGCTTTTATTACCTGTTGAAGGTGTTGTAGTGTGGGGGGAAGCACTGCACCATGAGGTTTTTCACAATAATAAGGTCATCAAGAACATATTTTCTTGTTATTTCGAGCAGACGGACAAGCCACATTTTATCCACCTCTCTGGTCACTGCCTGGGTGCTCTCAATGCGGGTGCTGACAGTGCCCTCCAACACCTGCAACAAAAAGATCAAAGAGCTGAGTCAAAACAAACACATCCTCTAAGGTCAGGTCCAGAACCTCCAAGACTCGGGTCAAAACAATCAGAACCTCCACAGGGCTGTACGTTAACTTTTTTAGCTCATAGCGCCGGTGCTACAGAGGTTGCTGATCTTGTAGCACAGAACAAAAAGTTGTAGCACCAGCATAAAATGTCTGTTCTAATCTCTAAAACCAAAAGCCTGAATGGTGAATAATATAGTGAGTATTGTTGTGGGACAGGAGTCACCAAACTTTTTGAGACTGAGCGCTACTTCAGGGGACAAACACAAAGAGCTACTTGTTTGATAAAAAACAGATTTATACAGTTCAGATTCAAATATAAAAAATTTACATATATGTGAATATTTAATTACTATGTTACATCTTAATGTTAATGACTCCTCATGATAGTTAGATAATAATTTACTATGAATAAGTTAATATTACTGTAAGTGATCAACAGATTTATCTTAGTCCAGAGTTCTCAGTTTAAATCTCTTTTGAAGAAAACAGAATCACTAAATGGATGAACAGCAGGGAACATGTTCATTTCCCCCTGACAGTTCAGAAATCACCAACAGAGACCCTCTTTCATCGCGCTCACGTGTGATTTCAGAGAACAGGATGGAATTAAGAGGCCTGGAAAAATCTCAGCTGCTCTGAGTAAAGGTAGTAAAGTCTGCAGCAGGAGCTGCTGAATAACTCTTGACCCTTTGTTATGTTGCAGATCAAAATGTGTCCGAGAACATCTTTTTAGGGTTTTAAGTTTCAAAATAATCTGACTCTTTCTGACTGTATCTGCTGTTAGTGTCTGAGTCAATAAAGTTTGTTTTTATCTTCTCTGTACGTATAAAGAGTAAGGAAGTTTCATGCCTAAAAAAATAATAAAATAAAAAACACCCATTTGTAACAGTTATTCAAAATACACATTTTTCTTTGTTCTAATTATACTAACTTTTATAGATACAAAATATCAGTTATGTAATATAAAAACAAGCATAGAAAAACTTCCAATCACTATGAAAATAATGTTTTTCTACATTTTAATGCATCTAAAGGGTTAATGTTCCTGACTGAAGGGAGGAGGAGGTGTGTCTTTGCTGCCTGGTGGGGACAATTTTTGACTATTTCCCCGGTACAAACAGCCTGGTGAGGACCCACTGTTTCTTATGGGGACAAAAGCCCAGTCCACATCACGGGGTAAATAAAATTTAGACTAGGTTTAGGGTCAGATGGGCTTTAGAAAATCCTGGTAAATGAATGAAGTCAATGCAAAGTCCCCATAAGGATAGAAGAACCACCGTGTATGTGTGTGTGTGTGTGGGGGGGGGGGGGGCAGCGAGGAAACAGCAGAGCGCTGCGGGGAGGAAGTTTGGAGTTTTTAGCACGAGTTGTGGCTAAAGCAGCTTCGGTTGGTAATTTTTGAGAGTTTTTGTTAAAACACAGACGGTGCATTTAAGTTATTTTTGGGAGCTAAGGTCAAAGTCTCAAAGTTCTTGACGAGTCTGTTGCAGGTCTGTCGCTGCCTCGCTCCGACAGAGGCGGGGGAAGCCCCCCTCCTTCTCTCTCTCTCTCCGTCTCTCTCTCCGTCCATCCCTCTCTCTCTCTCTCTCTCTCTCTCTGTCTCTCTCTCTCTGTCTCTCTCTCTCTGCATCTTCTGAACCGAGTCAGCTACGGGTTTTCGTTTAAAACAGTCCGAGTCAAATGTCTACATTATACATCGCTAGAATTTATTGTAGGTGACAATTTAATGCATTACAAAAATTACGGACGGACAGAAAAAAAAAGAGCTCAAATTTCTTCTGTAAGATTTTAAACCTCTGATCATTACCTCATAGAAGAGAGAAGAGATGCACCTGAAATTTTATTATTTTTCTGTCCCTAAAGCTTCCTGTGAAACAGTTTTGAGTGTATTTGAAGGAAAAGATTGAAACACAATCAAAAAAGAACATCTAAAAATGCTCAAACAGATATCCATCTGGAAATGACAAGATGTCTGAGGTCTTATCACCTCTCCTAATGTAGACTTCTGTGGAGTATTAGCTCCAACATCAACAGGCTCCTCTAGACAAGGACACATCCTGTCTGACTCTGTCCTCGTGCAGCTCTCAGCTAAAGACAGACTCAGGGTTTGTTCAAGTAATCCTGCTACAGAGCAGGGTTGGTTCACGGAGGAAGTTGAAAAGATAAGTTGACTCAGGATAATGGCTTTTTGAAACCCAAAACCCAGGATATGAACAGAGTTACACCAGAACTAACTCAGGATTTTCACTAATCCTGCTTTCTGAAACGAGGCCCAGGACTCATGTCAGGTACAAACACATCCTCCAGGACTCAGATCAAAGCTGCAAAGCTCTTGAACTCCCCCACTTGGGACTGTCACTAACATCAATCAGAATAGAGCATTTCACCTTCTTTCAGTTGAGAACCATGGCATGAACTACATAAAGATGACTCATCTCAAACGCTTCAGTTGGGCTGTGAACCAAACGTTTCAGGACTGGAACAATGAAGGACATCTTAAAGCAGTTGGGAACCATGGCTCAGGATAGGGACAGTGAGTAACTGAACACAGAGCCTGAGCAGGGATTTAGTCAGGCCCAGTTGCTTTTCGAGGGTTAATCCTCTGTATTATTCACCTGACGCTCAACACAGACAGTAAAGGTCCACTCTCCCAGTAGGATGGCAAACTTGGTGCAGTGAGAGGAATGTGACGACAGAGTGGGAGTAGAGGTTATTCAGAGCATGAAGCAATGATGAATCTTGTGGCCAATCTTCTATACTCTGGTCGATCATGGTCTTTATGCTTTTCCACATGATTTGAGGGTCATTTGTATCTAAATGACTTTAGATCCTTTGTTTCTTCAGACTGGGAGGCTGAATGTTGTTCTCAGTCCTGTTCTACCTCTCATTTGGATCACTCAAAATGTTACTGGAGCATAAAAAACAGCTCCATTAGGACACGTGGCGGTCATCTTTTTGTTTATTGGCAATGGATGATGTGTGGGAACCAGCTAGATTGAGTTGCGAGAAGAGAAGCAAAGTATGGCCTGTATGCATTGTTCCTGTTGGTGAAAACATGTTTTTTTTTTTTCAGTTTAAAGTCTCCTGCTGCCATGATGAAAGCCTCTTTGGTCTGGAGCTGACTGATGTGTTCGTGTAAGTCTTTAAGTGTAAGACTAATATTAGCACTGGGTGAGATATAAACAGCCACATGTACACTTAGTAAACTCCCAGCTGATAAAACTGGTAGCTCTGCTGACTCTGAACAGTGTCCACTCACCTGACTGCAGTTTGCATCGTGGTTTGATCATTAAAGATAGGCTCCGCCTCCCAGAGGTTTTCCAGACAGATGACACTGGTCAGGTTGAGTTCATGTTAGTGTGACGACTCCTGTCATCATTGGACTGATGTTTGTATGTTGTTCTTCAGGTGAAGTGGGTGCGGCCTGGAGTTAGCTGCAGACTGGGAGCACCTGGGTCAATTAGATCTGGCTGCTCTTGCTCTTCCCATAGCAAGCAGTCCAGTTAATCCTGTTGGGTTTATTTGTTATCATTATTGGGATTGGCAGGCCTTGATTTTATTTTTATTATGGTAGTTAGCGCAGAGTCCTATCAAAAGTCGAACCTCAGATTCTGGAGGAACAATGCGGGTTCCGTCCTGGCCATGGAACACTGGACCAACTCTTTACCCTCACTACGGTCCTCGAGGGATCATGGGAGTTTTGCCATCTAGTCTACATGTGTTTTGTAGACCGTGTTACTCAAGGTACACTGTGGGGGGTGCTATGTGAGTATGGTATTGTGTGTCAGTTGTTATGGGTCATTCAGTCTCTACACAAGCGGTGTGAGAGTTTGGTTCACATCACCAGTAAGTTGGACCCCTTCAGAGTGGGAGTTGGACTCCACCAGGGCTGCCCGTTGTCACTGATTCTATTCATAACTTACATGGACAGAATTTTTCGGTGCAGCCAGGGGCAGAGGGAGTCCGGTTTGGTGGCCTCAGGATTTCATCTCTACTGTTTGCGGATGATGTGGTTCTATTGGCGTCATCAAGCCAGGATCTTCAGCTCTCACTGGAGCGGTTCACAGCTGAGTGTGAAGTGGCTGGGATGAGGATCGCCACCTCCAAGTCTGAGTCCATGGTCCTCAGACAGAAAAGGGTGGGTTGCTCTCTCCAGGTTGGGGGTGAAGTTCTGCCTCAAGTGGAGGAGTTCAAGTATCTTGGGGTTTTGTTCATGAGTGAGGGAAGAATAGAGCGTGAGATTGACAGTTCGGTCGGTGCAGCTTCTGCAGTTTTGTGGACTCTGTACCTGTCTGTTGTGGTGAAGAGGGAGCTGAGCTGTAAGGCAAAGCTCTCTACGTTCCTACCCTCGCCTATGGTCACAAACTTTGAGTAGGGACCGAAAGAACGAGATCATGGATACAAGCGGACAAAATGAGTTTTCTCCACAGGGTAGCTGGACTCTCCCTTAGAGATAGGGTGAGAAGCTCAGTCATCCAGGAGGGACTCAGAGTAGAGCCGCTGCTCCTCCACGTCGAGAGGAGCCAGTTGAGGTGGTTCATCTGGTTAGGATGCCTCATGGACGCCTTCCTATAGTGAGGTGCTTCAGGCATGTCCAACTGGGAGGAGGCCCAGAGGAAGATACAGGACACACTGGAGAGATTATGTCTCTCAGCTGGCCTGGGAACGCTTTGAAGTCCTTCCAGAAGAGCTGGAAGAGGTGGCTGGAGAAAGAGAGGTGTGGGCTTCCCTGATCAAGCTGCTGACCCTACGACCCGACTTCAGATAAAGAGGAGGATAACGGATGAATAAATGGATAGTTAGCGCAGTAATTTAGTATAGTTTTGGTTTAGTTTGTTTGGTTGAATATTTCCTGTCTAACTTAAGTCAGGCTTTAAAAATCTACTTTAAAACAATAAAAAAAAAATTAATTTACTTTAAAAATCAGTGTGTCTCCTTTTTTGTCCTGACCTCCTGAGCCAGGTTGTGACATTAGTAAGATGTGTCTTTGTTGTTCAGTTGGAGCTCCATTAAGTCCATTTTATATGTGTTGTTAGAAACTCTTTCCTGTTAATGTGCACACGTCTTCCTGGCTCCTCTGAGGTGTTGGGTTTTGCTCCTACAGACCAGAAAACTCAAAGTCCGCAAACCTCCCTACCAAGGTTTTACATTTGGCTTATTTGTTAATGTGGGACAAAAAAACTTGTAAAGGTTCATTTGATATATAAACTTATTTAAACAAACTTTAGAGCCATTAAAGCTGGTAAATGAGAAGCTGCTGAACTGTTATGTGCTGCCAGGATAACTTAATGGATTTAACTTTTTATTTTCATCCTCTTGCCTTTAAACTTTGACTGTGTGTTGGAAGAAACACTGTAAACACGGTTATTACTCTCTTAAAATGCTTGTTTCATTCTACAAACATGAATAATCTGAGGGATTTTTAGTCTAGGGCACAGGTGTCTTATCCTGGTCTTAGAGGCACACTATCCTGCATGTTTTCCTTGTTTCTCTGCTCCAACACACCTGATGTAGTGATTTAATTACCTCTTTATATGAAGCAGAAGCCTGTTCACTACCTAATCGTGCAAATCAGGTGTGCTGGAGAAGAGGAACAAGAAAACTATGCAGGATGCAGGTCCAGGATTTGACACCTCTGGTCTAAGGAATGTGTTTGGCTAACTGCTGAGAACTTAAACAGGGATTTTATAGAAATGGCTATTTTTTCCTGTTTGTGTCATGTTTTTGTGGAAAACAGACTTGTTGTTGCAGACTGTGTGAATAAGTGAACACAGACATGTTGGAAAATGATCTTGAACCATCTTGATAAGGACTGATAGCAGGAACGGATGCTGACTCAATGGGACAATGCTGGATAAATAAAACATTAGATACAATAAAATCCTGTTAAAAGACAGGATTCAATCTTTAAAATATTTAATGTTAAAGTAAACTAGCAGTGCCAAGCATATACCAGTAGCAGCTGGAGACTTTAAAAAGGCCTGATGTTTAATATGGAAATAAAACAGGAAGTGGTTGTTAAATCTAATGTTTGAGAACTGAGGCCTGCTGCAGAACTTTACACTGGTGGATGTGAGCATTAAAAAAAGAAAAACTGACCAAGTTTTACCTGCCAAGCTATATTATTTGTAACTTTTGAGTACTTAAGAAGTACGACTTTTACGCTTTAGACTTCCTCTGACCTCAAACATCTTGTCCTTCCAGCGTTTGGGTCTTCCAGGCGGGATGAAGCCAGACTGTTTCTTTCGGTCAACCATTCGCCGATCGATCTTCTCCTCTCGCTCAATGATGCGGATCACAGACACCAACATGGTCGGGTCCCGGCGAACGGTCACCATGGACCTCTGCAGTACCATCCACAGCTGCTTGGCCAGCTCATCAGACAATCCTTGAACCTTGAGGAGAACCAGAACAGATTGAACAACATCAGGAATCAGAATCCGTCTCGATGCTGATTAAAACATAAAAAAGGCAGCTGTGGAAACTGTTTCATAAAAAATAATTCTTTCAAGTCTAAACTAAGTGAAGGGTTTAGGAACAGCTTTGACATTTACAACACTGGTTTTGGAACCAAACTAAAATAATAATTTGACCTGTTTTCTGTTTCTACAATCATCATGTTTGGTCGAGGTCATGTGTTGTGAACTTCTTTACAGCTGCAGGAGAGAATGAGCACATTTAAAATGTAAGATTAGATTAATCTTTACATTTGTTTCATAAGTTTTTCACTACAGTCAGGGCTGCACGGTATATGTGGTGGAAATGATATGAAGTTGGCCTGTGGTAGAAATTTACCCTCTACTGTCCTGTCATCAGTTACGTCATTGTACTTGTGTGAACAGGGCTATGAGTGCAGAGACAACTGAGCAGGAGTTTGAAATATTCTGAAAATAAATGAAGAAATATAGTGTTTTAAAACAGCCATAGAGAGAATAAATCCTCAAAATTTCCCCCTTCTGCTGTGGAAAATTACGAAGGGATCATTCCCCGCTCTCTCCTGCAGCACGTCTAGCAGAGCGAATCATTAACAACCACAGTTTTTCACACCCAAGTTGTCGAAGAAAAAAAACGTGTTTTTTATGTATTGTCACCCACAGAGATGATAAAAAGTTGGGGACGTTCGTTCAGTCATAAATCTTTCTTGTTAATGTAACAGTTGTCTCTGCTCTGATGATGAAGATGAGAGCGCAGCAGAGGGTCAGTTTAGCAGGCAGAAACTAATCGTGTGGCAGGCCAATATTACATTTATTTGGCTTCACCACACTTACATTCTAGTTATCTGAAATAGTTTTATGACAGGACTATGTGCAGCTTAAGCCCCTTCAGGTCCTGTCATACTGTAACATGTTGGGCAGCACTGAATTATTTTATGTCTAAATTACTAATTCTACTTTAAGTACTGGTTATAACATCCACTTTATTTTAACATTGTTGAAAATTTGAAAAATGTTTTTCTTTGTTGTTGAAACAGTTTTACAATTAACAGCGGGTAAAATAAGTATTGAACACGTCACCATTTTTCTCAGTAAATATATTACTAGAGGAGCTAATGACATGAAATTTTCACCAGATGTCGGTAACAACCCAAGTGATCCATACATACAAAGAAATCAAACCATAAATGTCCAGAAATGAAGTTATTTGTAGAGCTGGGTGATATGACCAAAATATCACGGTATTTTTTAACAATTATCACGATATCACGGTATTTTTTTTTTTATGCTTATCTGTGTTTGTTAACCACATTTTCTGCTGACTAAAAGAAAAACTACTGCAATAAAGTGACTAGTAC